TTTATAAAGGGCAGTAAAGTGACTTTATAAAGGACAGTAAGTGACTTTATAAAGGACAGTAAGTGACTTTATAAAGGGCAGTAAGTAGGTTCTCTGTCAGCTGAGGTCGAGCTGTTTTAGTTTACAATGAGTTCTATGGGACTTTTTTCTGGGTAGCCCACGTAAATTTATTCTGCAGTACCACAGCGCCCCCTGTGCCCATGGGTGGGACAGCTGTAAGTTAGTAATACTGTACAAAATACAAAGATGACATCAGTGTTTTTATTCAGACTCACAAAGATTACATCATCAGTGTTTTTATTCAGACTCACAAAGATGACATCATCAGATGTGGACCACACAAGATCAAAACGTTTAAAAACATTCAAATGAGACAAACATTAAAGTACTCATCATGTTCTGTAATTGGGGATGCAACACTGACATTTCCCACGAATCTGACGACGTTAGCTTAGCGCTGTAACAGGTGCAGACATGTTGCTAAGACGGTTGCTAAGGAAGAGTTTCCCCCTGGATGAAGGCCTCTGATTGGTCAGTCCTGATATGGACAGGACAGAGGACAGTAGGACAGAGGACAGTAAGTCAGAGGACAGTAGGACAGTAGGTCAGAGGACAGGACAGAGGACAGTAGGACAGAGAACAGTAAGTCAGAGGACAGTAGGACAGTAGGTCAGAGGACAGGACAGAGGACAGTAGGACAGAGGACAGTAGGTCAAAGGACTGTAGGACAGTAGGACAAAGGACAATAGGTCAGAGGACTGTAGGACAGTAGGTCAGAGGACAGGACAGAAGGTCAGAGGACAGGACAGAAGACAGTAGGACAGAAGACAGTAGGTCAGAGGACAGGACAGAGGACAGTAGAACAGAGGACAGTAGGTCAGCGGACAGTAGGTCAGCGGACAGTAGGTCAGAGGACAGTAGGACAGTAGGTCAGTGGACAGTAGGTCAGAGGACAGAAGGTCAGAGGACTGTAGGTCAGAGGACAGTAGGTCAGAGGACAGGACAGAGGACAGTAGGACAGAAGGTCAGCGGACAGTAGGTCAGAGGACAGGACAGAGGACAGTAGGTCAGAGGACAGTAGGACAGAGGACAGGACAGAGGACAGTAGGACAGAGGACAGTAGGTCAGAGGACAGTAGGACAGAGGACAGGACAGAGGACAGTAGGACAGAGGACAGTAGGTCAGAGGACAGTAGGACAGAGGACAGTAGGTCAGAGGACAGGACAGAGGACAGTAGGACAGAGGACAGTAGGTCAGAGGACAGGACAGAGGACAGTAGGACAGAGGACAGTAGGTCAGAGGACAGGACAGAGGACAGTAGGACAGAAGGTCAGCGGACAGTAGGTCAGAGGACAGTAGGTCAGAGGACAGTAGGTCAGAGGACAGGACAGAGGACAGTAGGTCAGAGGACAGTAGGACAGAGGACAGGACAGAGGACAGTAGGACAGAGGACAGTAGGTCAGAGGACAGTAGGACAGAGGACAGGACAGAGGACAGTAGGACAGAGGACAGTAGGTCAGAGGACAGTAGGTCAGAGGACAGTAGGTCAGAGGACAGTAGGTCAGAGGACAGGACAGAGGACAGTAGGTCAGAGGACAGGACAGAGGACAGTAGGACAGAGGACAGTAGGTCAGAGGACAGGACAGAGGACAGTAGGTCAGAGGACAGGACAGAGGACAGTAGGTCAGAGGACAGGACAGAGGACAGTAGGACAGAGGACAGTAGGTCAGAGGACAGTAGGTCAGGGCTTGTGAGCCAGGAGGTCTTCTACAGGAGGGTAGGGCTAGTTGAGGGTTAGTTGTGGGCTAGTTGTGGGTTAGTTGTGGGTTAGTTGTGGGTTAGTTGTGGGTTAGTTGTGGGTTAGTTGTGGGTTAGTTGTGGGTTTGTTGTGGGTTTGTTGTGGGTTAGTTGTGGGCTAGTTGTGGGTTAGTTGAGGGCTAGTTGTGGGTTAGTTGTGGGTTAGTTGTGGGTTACTTGTGGGTTACTTGTATGCTAGTTGTGGGTTAGTTGAGGGTTAGTTGTGGGCTAGTTGAGGGTTAGTTGTGGGCTAGTTGTGGGTTAGTTGTGGGCTAGTTGTGGGTTAGTTGTGGGTTAGTTGTGGGTTAGTTGAGGGTTAGTTGTGGGCTAGTTGTGGGTTAGTTGTGGGCTAGTTGTGGGTTAGTTGAGGGTTAGTTGTGGGTTACTTGTGGGTTAGTTGTGGGCTAGTTGTGGGTTAGTTGAGGGTTAGTTGTGGGCTAGTTGAGGGTTAGTTGTGGGCTAGTTGTGGGTTAGTTGTGGGCTAGTTGTGGGTTAGTTGTGGGTTAGTTGTGGGTTAGTTGTGGGCTAGTTAGGGTCAGGGCTTGTGAGCCAGGAGGGTGCTGACTCGGATCTTCCCGTCCATGGAGGCCGTGAGGCAGGTGCCACAGTCCAGAGCAGAGCTCCAGTCCACAGTGACCACAGGAGCTCTGTGCCCCCCCAGAGACAGCACAGCGTCCAGGGCCCCCCCCTCGCCGCCACACAGCTGTAACACACACACACATACAGGGATCAACACACACACACATACAGGGATCAACACACACACACATACAGGGATCAACACACACACACATACAAGGATCAACACACACACACATACAGGGATCAACACACACACACATACAGGGATCAACACACACACACATACAGGGATCAACACACACACACATACAGGGATCAACACACACACACATACAGGGATCAACACACACACACAGGGATCAAGATAAGATAAACCTTTATTAGTCTCACAGTGGAGACATGTCAGTGTCATTGTTGCACTTTACAGCAGAGAGAGGAAATAAGACTCAGACGCACACATCAAAGTCTATTATTTAAGACAATAGACAATAAATTTAAGATAAAATAAAATAAAATGAGATAAACACTGGGCTATAATTGCACTTGGTTCGGAGTATTTACAGATGTCTATATTATACAGTACCTTGCGAAAGTATTCGGCCCCCTTGAACCTTTCAACATTTCGCCACATTTCAGGCTTCAAACATAAAGATATACAATTTTTATTTTTTGTCATGAATCAACAACAAGTGGGACACAATCGTGAAGTGGAACGAAATGTATTGGATAATTTAAACTTTTTTAACGAATAAAAAACTGAAAAGTGGGGCGTGCAATATTATTGGGCTCCTTTACTTTCAGTGCAGCAAACTCAGTCCAGAAGTTCAGTGAGGATCTTTGAATGATCCAATGTTGTCCTAAATGACTGATGATGATAAATAGAATGCACCTGTGTGTAATCAAGTCTCCGTATAAATGCACCTGCTCTTTGATAGTCTCAGGGTTCTGTTTAAAGCACAGAGAGAACCATGAAGACAAAGGAACACACCAGGCAGGTCCGAGATACTGTTATGGAGAAGTTTAAAGCCGGATTTGGATACAAAAAGATTTCCCAAGCTTTAAACATCTCAAGGAGCACTGTGCAAACAATTATATTGAAATGGAAGGAGTATCAGACCACTGCAAATCTACCAAGACCCGGCCGTCCCTCCAAACTTTCATCTCAAACAAGGAGAAGACTGATCAGCGATGCAGCCAAGAGGCCCATGATCACTCTGGAGGAACTGCAGATAACTACAGCTGAGGTGGGAGAGTCTGTCCATAGGACAACAATCAGTCGTGCACTGCACAAATCTGGCCTTTATGGAAGAGTGGCAAGAAGAAAGCCATTTCTCAAAGATATCCATAAAAAGTCTGGTTTAAAGTTTGCCACAAGCCACCTGGGAGACACACCAAACATGTGGAAGAAGGTGCTCTGGTCAGATGAAACCAAAATCAAACTTTTTGGCCACAATGCAAAACGATATGTTTGGCGTAAAAGCAACACAGCTCATCACCCTGAACACACCATCCCCACTGTCAAACATGGTGGTGGCAGCATCATGCTTTGGGCCTGCTTTTCTTCAGCAGGGACAGGGAAGATGGCTAACATTGATGGGAAAATGGATGGAGCCAAATACAGGACCATTCTGGAAGAAAACCTGTTGGAGTCTGCAAAAGACCTGAGACTGGGACGGAGATTTATCTTCCAACAGGACAATGATCCAAAACATAAAGCCAAATCTACAATGGAATGGTTCACAAATAGACGTATCCAGGTGTTAGAATGGCCAAGTCAAAGTCCAGACCTGAATCCAATCGAGAATCTGTGGAAAGAGCTGAAGACTGCTGTTCACAAACGCTCTCCATCCAACCTCACTGAGCTCCAGCTGTTTTGCAAGGAAGAATGGGCAAGAATTCCAGTCTCTCGATGTGCAAAACTGATAGAGACATACCCCATGCGACTTGCAGCTGTAATTGCAGCAAAAGGTGGCGCTACAAAGTATTAGCGCAAGGGGCCGAATAATATTGCACGCCCCACTTTTCAGTTTTTTATTTGTTAAAAAAGTTTAAATTCATCCATTTTCTTCCCTTTAATCCATTTCTGGGTCAGGGGGGTGGCAGTCAGAGATGCCATCCAAGTCACAGAGCACCAGCCCCTCACTGACCCTCTGCAGGTGGTGAGTCCACAGGAGGCTGCTCTCTGAGTGTGAGCATAGCCTTGATCTTTCAGTGGGGGCTTTGGGCAAAGCGGGGTTAAGTGTCTTGCCCAAGGACACAACGACAGCAGTCATCAGTGGGAGTCGGTGGAGAAGGTGCAGAGGTGGGAATTGAACCCACGACCTTCTGGCCTTAAGGCCAATGCTCTACCAACTGAGCTACTGTCGCTTAAATTATCCAATAAATTTAATTCCACTTGACGATTGTGTCCCACTTGTTGTTGATTCTTGACAAAAAAAATAATTTTTATATCTTTATGTTTGAAGCCTGAAATGTGGCAAAATGTTGAAAGTTTCAAGGGGGCCGAATACTTTCGCAAGGCACTGTACATTAGCAGCGGAGAATATGAATATGAGCAGAATAAACATCAGAAATAATATCAACAGGTAAAGTGACTTGAATGGGAGAATTATCAGATGGGTATGAATAATACAGTAAGATATCAACAGGTAAAGTGACTAGTGACAAGTTACTAGTGAATTATCAGTGACACTTGTGCAGACTCAGCAGTTCCTGTTACACATTCTCGTTGTACAGTCTGACAGCAGCAGGAAGGAAAGACCTACAGAACCTCTCCTTCACACAGCGAGGGTGAATTAGTCTGTCACTGAAGCTGCTCTCCAGAGCAGAGAGAGTGTCCTGCAGGGGGCGACAGTCATGGTCCAGCATAGATGTTAGTTTGCTCAGGACCCTCCTGTCCCCCACCTGCTGCACTGTGTCCAGGGAACAGCCCAGGACTGAGCTGGACTTCCTGATGTTCCAGCTTCTTCCTGTCCCTCTCTGTGATGCTGCTGTTCCAGCAGACCACACCGTACAAGAGGCTGATGCCACCACAGAGTCATAGAAGGTCTTCAGGAGTGGCCCCTGCACTCCAAAAGACCTGAGCCTCCTCAGCAGGTAGAGCCGGCTCTGGCCCTTCTTGAAGAGGGCGTCTGTGTTATGAGTCCAGTCCAGTTTGTGGTTCAGATGAACACCCAGGTACTTGTAAGAGTCCACTCTCTCGATGTCCTTTCCCTGGATGTTCACTGGAGCTGGAGCGGCAGAGTGACGTCTGCGGAAATCCACCACCATCTCCTTGGTCTTCCTCACGTTGATGAGGAGGTGGTTCATCTCCTTGGTCTTCCTCACGTTGATGAGGAGGTGGTTCATCTCCTTGGTCTTCCTCACGTTGATGAGGAGGTGGTTCATCTCCTTGGTCTTCCCCGCGTTGATGAGGAGGTGGTTCATCTCCTTGGTCTTCCCCGCGTTGATGAGGAGGTGGTTCATCTCCTTGGTCTTCCTCACGTTGATGAGGAGGTGGTTCATCTCCTTGGTCTTCCTCACGTTGATGAGGAGGTGGTTCATCTCCTTGGTCTTCCTCACGTTGATGAGGAAGTGGTTCATCTCCTTGGTCTTCCCCGCGTTGATGAGGAGGTGGTTCATCTCCTTGGTCTTCCTCACGTTGATGAGGAGGTGGTTCATCTCCTTGGTCTTCCTCACGTTGATGAGGAGGTGGTTCATCTCCTTGGTCTTCCTCACGTTGATGAGGAGGTGGTTCATCTGCTTGGTCTTCCCCGCGTTGATGAGGAGGTGGTTCATCTGCTTGGTCTTCCCCGCGTTGATGAGGAGGTGGTTCATCTCCTTGGTCTTCCTCACGTTGATGAGGAGGTGGTTCATCTGCTTGGTCTTCCTCACGTTGATGAGGAGGTGGTTCCGCTGACACCAGTCCACAAAGTCCTGTATAACTCCTCTGTGCTCTGTGTCATCGTCCTCGGAGCTGAGTCCGATGATGGCAGAGTCGTCAGAGAACTTCTGTAGAACACAACCGTCCGTGTTGTGTCTGAAGTCCGCAGTGTAGAGGGTGAAGAGGAACGGTGCGAGGACTGTCCCCTGGGGGGCCCACACACTGCAGGTCAGGACCTCAGACACGCAGTCCCTGGTTCTCACAAACTGGGGTCTGTCTGTGAGGTAGTCCAGGATCCACTGGGACAGGTCGTAGTCCACTCCAGCTGTCTCCAGCTTGTCCCTGAGAAGCCTCGGCTGGAAGGTGTTGAAGGCACTGGAGAAAGCAAAGAGGATACTCAGAGTGGAGCCGGGTTTCTCAAGGTGGGACAGGGAGCGATGGAAGAGGGTGATGATGGCGTCCTCGACTCCGATGCTCGGCCTGTAGGCGAACTGCAGCGGGTCGCTGAGCTCAGAGTGGAACGGAGATGTCCCAGGACCAGTCTCTCCAGTGTCTTCATGCAGTGGGATGTTAGAGCCACCGGCCTGAAATTGCTGAGGTCTTTGGCCCGTGGTTTCTTGGGCACTGGTACCACACAGGAGGTCTTCCAGAGCTGTGGTACCGCCCTCAGGCAGAGGCTCATGTTGAAGACGTGCCCCATAACCCCGCACAGTTTGTCTGCACAGGAGCTGAGGAGCCTGGCGCTCACATGGTCTGGTCCCGCTGCCTTCCTGGTCTTGATTTTCTTCATCACACCTCTCACTTGAGCAGGTGTGAAAGAAAGGGGGGCTGGGGGGCTGGGTGAGTCTGTGTGTCTGATGGGAGGGGGGCCGTGGGGCACTGACAAAGGTGTGAACGACTGGGCTATTGTCCACTGCTGAGGCGGCTAGGGCATGCAGCTGAGCTGGGGGAGGGGTGGGTCTCTGATCAAACCGCAGGAAGAAGTGGTTTAAATCATTAACCCATTGGAGGTCCCCCACAGGCTGGACAGGGTGTGTTTTGAAGCCCAAGATGGTCTTCAAGCTCCTCCAAACCCCTGCCACATTCTGTTGGCTCAGCTGTTCCTCCATCCTGTTCTTATAGCGAGCCTTAGCAGTTCTGATGCTCATCCTCAGTCTCCGTTGTACCTCCTTCAGTGCCTGTCTGTCCTTAGATAGAAAGGCCCTCTTCTTCTCCTTCAGCAGGGCCTTAATCTCAGTGTTCATCCACGGCTTATTGTT